CCAATATGTGTGTAACTGGAGTCCCATAATACAAAAAGGAGTAAATAGGCATGATGTAAATATTAAAAACATAATGGCTAAATATTGTGCAGTACTGACAAAAGACATCAAGCACAAATCAAATTCCAGGATCACTATGACCACCAATGCAATTGCATAGAAACTTTCAAAGCAGGATTTAGAAAGTAAAAAATTTGAGCTGAAAGACAAATAAAATTGAGAAAATTCTGTGAGATTGATCAGGAAAAGAGAGAGAGAGAGAGAAGGCACAGATAAGTAATGCCAGAAATGAAAATGAGGGGCCAGCCTGGTGGCATAGCAGTTAAGTTCTCATGTTCCACTTCAGTGGCCCGGGGTTTGCCGGTTCATATTCTGGGTGCAGGCATGGCACCGTTTGGCACGTCATGCTGTGATAGGCATCCCATGTGTAAAGTAGAGGAAGATGGGCATGGATCTTAGCTCAGGGCCAGTCTTCCTCAGCAAAAAGAGGAGGATTGGCAGCAGTTAGCTCAGGGCTAATCTTCCTCAAAAAAAAAAAAAAGAAATGAAAATGAGGATATCCTTGGTGATATCAAAACTGTAAGAAGATCCTACTAAGATATAATGGCAAAAATTTGAAATTTTAGATTACTGGAGCTATTTCCTAGAAAACACAATGTATACAAAAACAAAAAGAAATAGAATATCTAACTAGTGCTATATCTTTAAAGAAATTGAACCCATCATGTAAAAGCTCCTTACAATAGTGTTTACTCTTGGAGGGGTAGTGTGTGGAAGGGTACGTGGGTGGGGGCTCCTTGGGAGCTGTTAATTCTGTTTTTCTAAATCTGGATGCTGGTCACATAGCTGTATCCAGTTTGTGAAAATTCATTGAGCTCTACATCTATGGTGTGGGCACATTTCAGCATCCATGCTATTCTTCAATAGCAAGTTTAAAAAGATGAAACCTTCCTGTAAGTAAAAGCTCCAGGCCCTGATGTCTTTATCCGTGAGCTACCGAATATTTAAGCACAAAGTAAAAACAATCTCATCTAAACTCTTTCAAAGACTAGAAAAAGAGTATGCACTTTCTGCCTCATTTTATGAGGGCATACAACCATCATACCCACTCCCAATAAGGAAATTACAAGGAAGAAAAAATTAGAGCCTAATTTCCTTCAGGAACATAAATGCAAATATCCTAGACCAAATAATTAGCTCACCAATCCTGTGATACATAAAAAGAATTAAATATCACGATCAAATGAGCTTTATTCCAAGAGTGCAAGGATAATTCAGAATTTGAAAATCTATCTGTATACTTCACCATATTAATAGAAAAAAGGGAGAAAAACCACATGATTATCTGCATAGATACAGAGAAAGTAAGAGTCAATTGCTGAGAGTTAATGTATGTTCATTACTTTTTAAAAAGCAACTAGGAATAGAACAAAACTGCCTTAATCTGGCAAACAATCCTCAAAGAACCTGCAACTAGCATCATACCGAATGGTGAAATGTTGAATGCTTTTTCCATGAGGTTGGGAACAAGACAAGGAAGTCTGCTATGACCTCTCTATTTAACATTTTATGGGAGATCAAAGTTATAAGGCTAAGAAAGGAAGAAGTACAATTGTCATTATTTGCAGATGATAAGACTTTCTATGTAGAAAACCCAGAAGAATTTATTTATTAATCAACTCAGCAAATTTTATGTCTATATATCAGTAATGAACAACTAGAAAGTAATTTCTTTTTTTTTTTTTTTGAGGAAGATTAGCCCTGAGCTAACATCTGCTGCCAATCCTCCTCTTTTTGCTGAGGAAGACTGGCCCTGAGCTCACATCCGTGTCCATCTTCCTCTACTTTATATGTGCGATGCCTGCCAAGCGGTGCCATGTCTTCACCCGGGATCCGAACTGGTGAACCCCAGGCCGCCAAAGCAGAACGTGCTCACTTAACCACTGCACCACCAGGCCAGTCCCTCAAAAGTAATTTCTTGGGCCAGCCCCAGTGACCTAGTGGTTAAGTTCAGCATGCTCCACTTCAGTGGCCCGGGTTCACTTCCCAGGCACAGAACTACACCACTCACCCGTCAGTGGCCATGCTGCGGTGGCATCCCACATACAAAAAGAGGAAGATGGGCAGCGAATGTTAGCTCAGGGCAAAGCTTCCTCAACAACAACAACAAAAAGTAATTTTTTTAAGAGGCAAGATTTATCATGGCAGTAAGGACATCCAATATCTAGGCATTAATCTGAAATAAAATATGTAAGACCACTTTTCCTTACAGAAAACTATAAAACATCACTAAGAGAAATTTTAAAAGACCTAAATTAAAAGAGGGGCATACTTAGTACCTCTATTGTAGGCAATATACATCAATTGGCAGGTTCAGTGTGTAAAGAAACTCTCACTGAATTCGGGGCTATCCTAGACAAATTCCCAGCAGATTCTTTAGTGTAAATTGACAACGCAAAGGGCCAAGAACATCTTGAAGAAAAGTTCTACCAGATGACAAGAATTATTATGAAGCTACAGTAAATAAGACGGTGTGACACTGGTACAATGATAGAGAAATAGAAGAGTGGAGCAGAAGAGAGTCCAGAAATAGACTCCCACATATATGGGCATCGAAATTATAGCAAGACTGTATTACAGATCAGTGAGGGGGAAGAGGCTCTGTCAATCAATCAAAGTGGATGTGGGCATCTGGGAAAAAGGGAAACTTGTTCCCTACCTCACACCCTACCCAGAAGTCATTTCCTCTTGGATCATGGATCTGACTACGAACTCAGACTGGTGAGGCATAGAAACATTTAGGTAACTTATGAGAATGTCTTCACGACCATGGAGCAGGGAAATATTTGTCTTTTTTTCCCTGGCTTTATCGCGATATAACTGACATATAACAATGTGTAAGTTTAGGGTGTACGACATGATGATTTGATACACATATATATTGTGAAATGGTGACCACAATAAGGTTAGTTAACACACCTGTCACCTCACATAATTACAGTTGGGAAATATTTCTTTTCTTTTCTTTTCTTTTTTGAGGCAGATTAGCCCTGAGCTAACATCTGCTGCCAATCCTCCTCTTTTTGCTGAGGAAGACTGGCCCTGAGCTAACATCTGTGCCCATCTTCCTCTACTTTATATGTGGGACGCCTACCACAGCATGGTGTGCCAAGTGGTGCCATGTCTGCACCCGGGTTCCAAACCGGCGAACCCTGGGCCACTGAAGTGGAACGTGCGCACTTAACCACTGCGCCACCAGGCTGGCCTGGGAAATAGTTCTTAAACAGAAAACAAAAAGCATAAGCCATGAAGGAAGGGATCAGAAAACTGGATTACGTTAATATTAAGAGCTCTTGTTCATTCAAAGTCACAAACAAGCGAGTGAAGGGACAAGCCACAGAGTGGGAGGAGATATTTGCAGTGCAAGTAACCACCAAGGGGCTTGTATTTAGAATTTACATATATTAATATGTCATATACAAGTTATATATATTAATATATCATATATAAATATATTATTTATATTATATATTATATTAATATATATTATATTATTATATTATGTTATATATTATATATGTTATATAAATCTTTTTAAAGTACAAACAACCCAGTTAAAGAAGGGGAATCAGATTTGAATAGCCACCCTACAAAAGAGGAAATCCAAGAGATCAGTGAACACATGAAAATGTATTTAGCCTCATTCTTATTAGGGAGCTCCAAATTCAAGCCAGAATGAGATACAGCTACACAGCCACTAAAAAGTTTAACCCTAAAAGTACTGACGATACTATGTGCTGCTGGGGATGTGGAACAACCGAAATTCTTAAGCTTTGCTCGTGGGAATATAAATTTGGACGATTTGGGGAAATTGTTTTGCAATACCGCCTAAGATTGGAAATAGGCGTACACGAGCATCCCTCCATTTCACTCCTGGTGGTGTGTGAGTGCGCAGGTGCTCCAAAAGACACATTCGAGAGTGTTCCTAGATAAATTATCTATGATAGCCCCAGACTGGACCCAACCTAAATGTCAGTCAGTAGTCGATGAGATAAATAAAGCATGCTGTATTCATCGAGTGGAAAATTACAGCAATGAACATGAATGCACTTCTGCTACACACGACATGGATGAATCTTACAAACAAAATGTTTAGCAGACGAAGCCAGAGATAAAACGGTACATACTGTATGACTCCGCTTATATGAAGGTCAGAACCAGACAAAACTATTCTAGAGCGTATTAGAGGTCAGGATAGTGGGTAACCCAGGGGGAGGCAAGGACAGTGACTACAGGGGGAAATCTGGAAAAGTGTCAATACTTTATTTCTTCCTACTTCACCTTTCACAAGTAGGCATGTATTTTGGGGATCATTCTAATCAGAATAAATCGCTGGCCCATTCTTTTTTATTATTATTTTTTTTATTTAAAGACTGGCCCTGAGCTAACATCTGTTGCCAATCTTCTTTTTGTTTTTTCTTCTTCTTCTCCCCAAAGTCCCCCAGTACATGGTTGTATATTTGAGTTGTAGGTCCTTCTAGTTCTTCTGTGTGGGACGCCGCCTCAGCATGGCCTGATGACCTGTGCCATGTCCACGCCCAGAATCCAAACCAGGGAAACCCTAGGCCACTGAAGCGGGCGCGTGAACTTAACTACTCACCACGGGGTGACCCCATGACCCATTCTTTTTACTTGCGGCCCAGCGATCCATCCATTGGCTACACTGTATTTATTTAGTCACTTTGCTATTGATCAGCATTCAGGATGTTTCCTGTTCTGTGTGACTACAAAGAGTGTTGCGATGAAAATTCACTGCCCACACGGGTGAGTATCTTGGAAAAGAATAAATTTCTGGAAGTGGAGTTGGTGGGTCAAAGGGTACGTGCAGTAGGTGCTACTTTTACAAAATGTGTTGTGTTAAAGTAAAACTAAGTTAGGAAATAAGAAAAGGTGGGCGCTGTGGCGGGGCTGGTGATGATTGGTTTTGTTTTCTTCCCCAGAGACTCTCGGATGTTGTAAACTGCAACGTGATGTCTGTGGTCCAGGTGAGTCTGGGCCAGGAGGCGCTGGGTCCACGGTCAGTGTAGCTCTGACTACTCTGGGTGGTCCCCAGCATCCCTCCACACCGGACCTGGCATGGAGAAGGTGCTAGGGGCTATTCCCTGAGGCTTGAAGGGAGCGGAGGGAGTGAACTGGAGGAGGGAGCAGGAGTCGTTGGGCGGGTGGAAGGATTGCAAAGGGAAAGGTGGAGTTTCCCCCACTCTTCTCTACAGATGACTGCAATTGTCCTGCCCCAGATGGTCGCCAGGTAAGAGGCAGTCTCTTTCTCTTCCACTCTGGATCCTCTCCCATCCAACCTCCAGGCTTTTTCCGTTCCCCGCTGGTCCCACCCACGTTTCCAACTCTTCTCTGTCCCTCTGAGGTTTCTCAGATGAGGGCTCGGGCTAAGGGGTGGCAGTGGGGGAATCACCTGGACCCTCTATTTCCGGTTGGCATTGATCACCTTCCAACGAATGCTTCCTCCTCCAGGGGCAAAGGCATCATCATCAACATCTCTTCGTTATCTGACAGGAGACCCTGTCCATTTTTAGCAGCATATGCAGCCTCTAAGGTACCCAGACCCACAGACCCAGGGCGAGGGCTGTCCTGCCATTCTCGATTCCTGCTGTAGCCCTTTATTCTGGCATTGAAGGTTCTGGGGGAAAAGTCCTGAATGTGTGTATGTGTGAGACAGAGGTGTGCCACCTGAATCTGGAGCTGTTCATAGGTCAGACAGACATCTGGGACACAATCCAGTGGGCAAGCTAGGTTTTTCTGTTTGTTTTTTAAGAGAAAGGGAGGCTGGGGTCAAGGGAGCACGTGAGGTGGGAAGGAGGTCTGGGAATTCAGAGACTGGCCTGGCTGGCGTGGAGAGTGCGTGTATGGGAACAGAGAGAGGGCTCAGAACACGCAAGCGCTCAGGTGTTAAGGTGAGGACTTGGGCCGCGAGGAGCGGGGCCTGCTGGATCCACGGACGGAGTGCTCTGCACAGGGACGGCTCTCGGTCCTGGGACCCTCCCTCTCCTTCCTCCACAGGCCTTTGTGCGAAGCTTCTCCCGGGCGGTGGGCGCAGAGTACTTCTCTCAGGGCGTCGACGTACAGGTACCTGACTCCGCAGGGGCGGGGCTCAGAAGGCACGTGGCAGCTCAGAACGGGAGGGGCATGGACACGGGGTAGGAGCTAAGGGACAGTGGAGGCTTCTAGGAGCAGAGAGATGTCTGAAAGAGGATAGTGATTTGGAATAGCTGGAGTGACCAGAGCTCAGAGCTGTGGCTTTGCTTAGGGGGCGTGGTGTCAGGGGGGCATGGTCTCTTGGAAGAGTGGCATGTAGGGGCGTGGTCTCCTGGGACCGTGGCATTTACGGGCGTGGCCTCTTGGGGGCGTGTTTCTGGCATGGCATCTAGGGGCGTGGCCTCCTGGGGGGCGTGGTGTCTAAGGGCGTGGTCTCTCCAGGCGTGGCATCCAGGGGCGTGGCATCCAGGGGGCGTGGCATCCAGGGGGCGTGGCATCTAGGGGGCGTGGTCTCAGGGCAGACACTCGGACCCACGTGGGACTGCAGCTAGAAGGCGAGCCTCTGGGATCCACAGAGAGGGCCTGGGAGGGTAGGCTGGGGTGGGAGGGGACTTCTTTTCTTTACCGGCTTCCTTCCTGCAGACAGTGAGCCCCTACACGGTTGCCACAAACATGACCCGTGACGTGAGCTTCGGAAAGAATGCCGAAGACTTTGCTCGGGAGGCGCTGGACACTCTTGGCCTCACCTCGCAAACGCCTGGGTGCCTGAGCCACGCTTTGCAGGTGCCTTCACGGGGCAATCACGGGCAGAGAGCTGGAGGGAACCTTCCCTGGCTCCGGTCCACTAGTCCTTAGAGCGGAGAGACGTCCAGGGGAGGGGAGGTCCCCCACCCTGGGCTGGGGAGACAGGAGAGGAGATGGGGGCACATCCTGATCCCTGGTACCTCTCCTTCCCAGAGTTTCCTGCTGCCTCTGCTGCCCAGTTGGTTTTCTCTCTCGCGCTGGGGAGTGAAGTTGACATCTCTGTGGGCGAACAGGCTTAACGAGAAGTTCGCGAATTAAAGGCATTGAAGAGGCGTGGCCGCTTGTCCATCCTCCCCCGCCCCCCAATCCCGGGCCAGAGCTGTCGTTGTTAGCAAAGATGTCCCACCCGGGAGAACAGACAGACAGGCAGGCCAATGGAACAGAACTGGACCCCCCGAACACCTGCACATTTGGTGACAACTGCAGATCTCAAACCTCTAATGGGAAGATGGAGTATTCAATATGTGGCGTTTGGGGAAAAACAAAAAATATACATATAATTGTAGCGGTGATGGTTGCAAAATTTTGTGAATATCCTAAAATCCACTGAATTGTACACATTTAAAGGGTGAATTTTATGGTATGTGAATTATATCTCAATAAAAATAATTTTTGAAATGGAGACTCCCTAAGTATATGTATATATAATTAGATCCATTCCTCACACCATACACCTGCATAAACTCCAAATGAATCAGAAATCTTCATGTAAAAGAGAAACACGCAACTAGAAGTGTACACGAATGAATTCTTCTCCATCTTGGGAGTGGGAGAATGTTTCTAATTAATACTGAAAATTAAAAGCAACAACAAAAAGAATCGCTAATAAATATTGAACTATTAATGACATGCAGGCTGAATTCCTTAGGGAAAGTGTCTGAAGCTTCCTCTGAAATGCATTGAAAAGTGAGATGAATTCACTCGTGGATAGTGGGATAGATGGAGCAGATAGAGATAAGACAAGTCTGGTAAAATGTTAGTAATACAACCTAAGTGGTAGATACATGCTTTTTCACTGTACACTTCTTTCAACTTTTCTATTCGTGTACACTTCTAGTTGTGTGTTTCTCTTTTACATGAGGATTTCTGATTCATTTGGAGTTTATGCAGGTGTATGGTGTGAGGAATGGATCTAATTATATATACATATACTTAGGGGGTCTCCATTTTAAAAATTATTTTTATTGAGATATAATTCACATACCATAAAATTCACCCTTTTCATAATAAAATTTTCATAATAAAATAGTGGGGAAAATCCAGGAGCAATAAAATAAAATAATAAAAATAAAATAAAATAAAACTACTTAAGCAGATTTAGAAGTTACTTTGGAAAAGATGATTCCATGAGCAAAGTAAAAATGTGACCATCTCAGAGAAAATATTTACAACTTATGCACAAAATGTGAATCTCCTTAATATATACGGAAAAGACTAGGGGCCGGCCCAGTGGCACAGCAGTTAAGTGCGTGCATTCCGCTTTGGTGGCCTGGGGTTCTCCAGTTCTGATCCCGGGTGCAGACATGGCACCACTTGGCATTCATGCTGTGGTAGGCATCCCACATATAAAGTAGAGGAAGATGGGCATGGGTGTTAGCTCAGGGCCCTTCTTCCTCAGCAAAAAAAAAAAAAAAAAAAAAGGAGGAGGATTGGCAGCAGATGTTAGCTCAGAGCTAATCTTCCTCAAAAAGAAAGAAAAAGACTAAAAGCCCAATGTTTTAAAATGTGTAAAGGAGTGAAAAGACACTTCACAGAGATACAAACACAGACAGTCCTTAACTATATGAAACGATGCTCAACTTCACTGTCTTCTTGTTTGCATGGCTTCTGGAGAGAAGTTAGATGTAACTCTTGTCTTGGTTCCTCTCTAGGTAAGGTGTCTTTTTTTTTTTTTTTTTTTACATTTATCCTGCTTGGTGTTCTCTGAGCTTCCTGGATCTGTGGTTTGGTGTCTGACATTATTTGGGGGGAAGTTCTCAGTCATTCTTTCCAATATTTCTTCGGTTCCTTTCTCTCTTCCTTCTGGTGTTTCCATTATGCACGTGTTACACTTTTGGTAGCCATCTTACAGTCCTTGGATATTCTGTTCTGTCCTGTTTTGTTTTTTTCAGTCTTTGTTCTCTTTGCTTTTCAGTTCTGGAAGTTTCTATTGAGATAGCCTGAAGCGCAGAGATTCTTTCCTCAGCTGTGCCTACTTAGCAAGTAAGCATCAAAGACATTCTTCATTTTTATTACAGTGGTTTTAATCTCTAGCATTTCTTCTTGGTTCTTTCCTAAGATTTCCATCTGTCTGCTTCCATTGCCCATCTGCCCTTGCACGCTGTCTCTGTTATCCATTGGAGCCCTTAATCATAGCGGTTTTAAATTCCCAGTCTGATAATTCCAACACCCCTGCCACGTCTGGCTCTGATTCTCGCTCTGTCTCTTCAAATTGTGGGGGTTTTTTTGCCTTTTGGTATGCCTTGTAATTTTTTCTTGATAGCCGGACATGATGTACTGGGTAAAAGGAACTGAATAGGTCTGTCGTAACGTGGTGGTGAGGTGTGAGTTGGGGGGGGTGGTGCATTCTGTAGTCCCATGATTAGATCTCAGTCGTTTAGTAAGCCAGTGCCTCTAGATTGTGAACTTCACAAGTGTTTTTAATTTTTTTCTCTTTCTTAAGCAGGAGAGTGTGGCTAGTGTGGGCTGAGATTGGGCATTTCCCTTCCCTACACCCTGCTCTGTCAGAATCTGATAATATCCCAGAAGATTAGGCTCTGGGTCACTAGTCCCTCCAGGGCAGTCTTTGTTAAGAAGAGCAGAGTGCTTCTGATGAATTTCAAGATGCTCCTTTCCCCCGTCCCCCTGCCAGGAACACAAGGGGATTTTTCTCTGATATTTACTGTGGGAAGTGGCTTGAGCTCCTAGAGGTAAATCCCCAAATTGTGGAAAACTTCCTATGACTGGGTTCCCCTAGAGTTTTCAACTCTCACGCTTGTCCACACTGAGCCTCATCAATCACGGTGCCGGTTTCCCACCCCAGCACTGGTTCCCGCGGCAGTGTCTGCCCACGAGTCTCTGCTCCGGAAAGTTGTGGTTGCCTGTATTTGCCTCTCCGTCTATCCAATCTTAGGGGCAGTGTTTCACCCCGTGTCCTCATCTCTGTTCAGCTTTTTATTTGTTGTTAAGACAGAGTGGCAACTTCCAAGCTCCTTATATGTGAAACTGGAAACCAGAAGCTACCTAAAAAGGCCATATACACTTAGAAAGAATGTATATTCTGCAGCTGTTTGATCTACCGTTCTATATGTGTTGATAGTTCAAATTGATGAATTATACTGTTCAAATCTATGTTCTTTCTGAAATATACTTTTTGCTTCTTCTGTCAGTTACTGCATGAAGCATGTTAAAATTTCCAACTCTGATTGTGGGTTTGTCCACTTCTCCTTTTAGTTCTGTCAACTTTTGCTTTATGTTTTTGAGGATGTTATTAGGTGCATGCATGTTTAGGATTGTTGTATGGTCCTAATGAGCCCATCTTAAATTATGAACTGTCACTTTTTAACTCTCGTAATACTTCTATCTAAAGTCTGCTTTGATATTAATATAGCCACACCAGCTTTTTTCTTTCTTTTGGTTGCTGTTTGCTTTGTGCATCATCTGCATTTCTTTTATTTTAAATTCTTCTTTGATTTTATATTTAAAATGTGTTTCTAACAGAGTATATAAAAGGATCTTGTTTCTCATCCAGTCTGACAATATCTCCCTGTAACTAGGGTGTTTATTTTCATTTATATTTAATATACTTGGTAATACAGTTGTGTTTAAGATCACTGCGCTAGTGACCTATTGCTGTGTAACAAATCACCCCAAAATTTACTGGCTTGAGACAATAGCAATCATTTATTATCTCTCACTTTCTGCAGGTTAGGAATTCATTAGTGGCTCATCTGTATGATAGTTCAAAATTCGCTACATCCTTGCCCACACTTGTTATGACCTGTCTTTTTTGTTCCAGCCATCCTAGTGGGTTGAAGTGGTACCTCATTGTGATTTTGATTTGCATTTTCCTAAAAGCAAATGAGCATCTTTTCATGTGCTTTTTGGACACTTGAGAAGGTGTCTCTCTTCTCTGAGAAACGTCTTCTCAGATCCTTGCCCATTTTAAAATTGGGTTGTCTTTTTACAATTGAATTGCAAAAGTTCTTTGTATATTCTAGATGCAAACCTCTTATCCAATCCACGCTTTGCAGATATTTTCTTTCATTCCATGAGCTGTCTTTTCGCTTTCGGTATGCTAGCCTTTGAAGCACCAAACCTTTTAATTTTCATTAAGTCCAACTGATCTATTTCTCCTTTTGTTCAGCTTCATTTTCAAAGGATGTTACCGCTGGTATAGAATTCTAGGTTAACAGTTCATTTTTTTCACTCGGTGCTTTAAACGTGTCATTCCATTGTCTTCTGGCATGTATTGTGGGTTGAATGGTGTCCTCCCCAAAAAGATATGTAGGGGGTGCCAGCCGAGTGGTGCAGTGGTTAAGTTCACACGTTCTGCTTCAGTGGCCTGGGGTTCACCAGTTCGGATCCCGGGTGCGGACATGGCACCGCTTGACAAGCCACGCTGTGGTAGGCTTCCCACATATAAAGTAGAGGAAGATGGGCACGGATGTGAGCTCAGGGCCAGTCTTCCTCAGTAAAAAGAAAGAAAAGAAAAGAAAAGTCAGACGCCCTTGTTTTCCCCTTAAATGTGATGTTTTTTTCTCTCTGAATGCTTTTCCTGATTTTCAGTTTTCTTTGGCTTCAGCAGTTCTACCATGAAATGCCTAGGTGTTTTTTCCTGCTTGGTTTTTATACTGCTTGGGGTTCACTGAGATTCTTTAATCTGTGAGTTGATGTTCTTCACGCATTTTGGAAATTTCTCCAAAAAGCGCTTCTTAAAAATGACTTCTGGACCCATGCTCTCTCTTCTCTCCTTATGCTGCCCTCATTCTACACGTGGCAGATCGTTTAACAGTGGCCCCATATTTCATGCACGTCTTTTGCGGGGCTTTTGGTACCATTCTTTTGTCTTAGAGCTCCATCGTGGATAATTGCTATGGATCTGTCTTCAAGATTCCTGTTCTTTCCTTCTGTTGTCAGTAATCTGCTGTTAAATCTCTTCAATGAGTTCTTTTTAAACCAACATTATAGAAACATAATTTATGTATACTAAAACACTCACACTATGAGTGTACGGTTCATTGAGTTCTGAAAAATATATGTGCTTGTGTAATCACCAAACAAATCAAGATATAGAACCTTTTTATGATCCCAGAAGGTCTTTTTGAGCCTCTTTCCAGCCAATCTTAACTCCTCCAGGTAATCACGGATCTGATTTACATTACGACTGATGAGCTTTGCCCGGACTAGAATTTCATACAATTGAAATAATGTCTGAACACTTTGGGGACTGGCTTCTTTCTTTCTGCGTAACAGTTTTGGATTCATCCATGTTGTCACACGGATGTAGTATGTTCCTTTTTGCCCATGAG